GGGGGTCCTGAGTCCCCTTTGGTGCCTGCTCTGGGAGCCTGGGTCCCCAGGGGTGCCAAGTTTGGGAGCCTGGGTCCGCATTGGTGCCTGGTTTGGGGGGCCTGGGTCCCCATGGGTGCCAGGTTTGGGGGCCTGGATTCCCCTTCGGTGCCCAGGCAGGGTCGAGGTGCCCAGTTGGGGCGCCAGGTCATGGCACCCATGGGTGCCTAGCCAGGGTCAGGGTACCCAGGTCAGGATGCCTATGGGTGCCCAGGTCAGGGTGCCCATGGGTGCCGTGTTGGGGTGCCCATCCCRGGCAGGTTCGGGGTGCCCAGTTGGGATGACCACACCAGGGTGCCCATGGGTGCCCAGGTCAGGATGCCCAGCTGGGGCACCCACGGGAGCCCGGGCAGGTTTKGGGGTGCTTGGGGGTGCTCAGACAGGCCTTGGGTGCTTGGCGAGGGCTGCAAAGCTGAGGTTGCCGCTGCGGGTGCCCTCGCGGCCGGTGCCGGTGCCCAGCTGCGGGCGACGCTCCCGGCAGGGTGACCTACGTGTACTACGAGCAGTACCTGTCGGTGGTGGCCGAGGGGCTCTTCACGCTCACCGTGTGCCTGGTGCCCACCTTCGTCGTCTCCTTCGTGCTGCTGGGCATGGACATCCGCTCCAGCGGCGCCACGCTGCTCACCATCCTCATGGTGCTGGTGGACACGGGCGGCGCCATGGCCCTCTGGGACATCCCCTACAACGCCGTGGCGCTCATCAACCTGGTGGCGGTGCGCCGGGCGCGTGTGCCGCCGGGGGACACGCMGGGTGGCCCCGGGAGACGGCGGCTGGGGACACGCGGGCAGGACGCGTCCCGCAGGGGCGCCCGGGTGACGTTGCCCTCCCCGCAGGCCGTGGGCATCTCGGTGGAGTTCGTGTCGCACGTGACGTGCGCCTTCAGGCGCAGCAGCGCGCCCGGCCGCGTGCAGCGCGCCGCCGACGCCACCGTGCGCATGGGCAGCAAGGTGGGCACGCGCGGAGCCGGCGAGGGGGCTGCGCCCGCCGCGCCGCCGCGCCACCGCGTCACCGTGTCACTGCGCAGGTGGTGGCCGGCGTGGCCATGACCAACCTGCCGGGCATCGTGGTGCTGGCGTTCGCCAAGGCGCAGCTCATCCACATCTTCTTCTTCCGCCTCAACCTCATCATCACGCTGGCCGGGCTGGCGCACGGCCTCGTCTTCCTGCCCGTGCTGCTCAGCTACATGGGTAGGGCCGCGCGCGGGCACCGCGCCGCGCCGCCCGCGCCCACCCGGGCCCACCGGGCTCCGCAGATCCCG